GGGTTTCTGCCAGTTCGCCGCAGATCAGGCAAACCAGTAGTGGCGGCGGTGGAAGGCTCCGCCCACCCACCTGGATGTTTCTGCACATGCGCAGAAGCATCATGCGCAAGCGCACGGACATACAAATTAGTAGTAAAATAAATTGAAACCCATCACTGATGAGAGTGGACCTGTATCTCATAATTCCTAGTTCAACCTCTTCACCACTATACATATCATGTCCATGTGAAGATGGGGCAGAAAGGCAGTAGCAATGGCTCTGTATTCTTCTGATATTATTTAAAAAGTGAGTTCAAGTGTATACAGTCTGCTCACTCCTGAACTGTACTGCTGGGAGAAAACGCGGCCCAGATGGTATTTCCTTCACACTCCTTTCCTGATATAATTTTTACCTTTTATCTTAGAATTAGAGTACAATATGGGATTCGATATAATTTTTTGGTTTCTTAATACTTTTGATTAGCAGAACAAAACTTTTTTTTGTCTCTGGCTTTCTTTTTCCAGACATATCAAAAACCAACCCACATCCTCCTAATTATTATGAGCTAATGGAATTTGATCCTTTGGCCCCTTGTGACCCAACCAAGTAAGTGATTTTCAAAATGACTTAATTGTTGCTTGCTTATTTCTTCTTCTTAATAGTCCAGACCAACACAGACAGCTTTTCTTATACCAGCACAGCAAAAATATATTGTATATATTTTAAGCCATCAGTGATAGCCACTAAAATTGAACAGCCGCATAGATTTCTTTAATGCTTCTTTGTTTCATGTTACTGAATTGATCTAATAGTACCCATCCACTAGAGAGCAGTATCTCTTTTGCCATTCCCCCCAACTTTCTTAGCAGATAGAAAGGAGAAAGGTTTTGCTGATTGAGCAGTTCTCTGTTTATGTGATACTGCATTTTTTGTCATTATAACAAACAATACTTATATACATACACTATTCTCTTTGGGGCAAGCATCATTAATGCAAAGCATAGAACAGGCTAAGTGTTAAAAGCCAGTAACTTGAAGGGTGAGATGTTTATGCTGGCCTCCAGAATGGCACCTTTCTTCAAGATAGAACAGAGTAAAACATAAAACACTCAAACTGAAAAATGAGCAAACACTTCAGCCATATACAGCCGAGAAGAAAATGCAGAACTACGTACATCCATTCATCACCACATAGTGAGTGATGAAAGAATGAGAGACAGCAAAAGGAGAAAGGTAAGTTCACAAGAGTACTGAAGAATATTTAAGGCCATCTAAACTGGGGCTAGGCTGGGCTGTCAGGAAGTATAAATAAGAATCTGAACTTCCACATAGGTTGTTTAAAACAGCCTACAATCTACTCACTTCAAATTCCAAAGCTCAGTATCACTTGTCCCAAAGAACCCGACCCTCACATTGTAATCAGGATAACTTTTCATCTTTCCTTTTTGGGTCCACAGAAAGTGACCTTTGGGGTTTCTTATTCTTATTTTTCTGTTCAATATTGTAATGTTTTTTAGTTTTTTGGCATTCTCAAATGTACATGTATATTTCTTGTTGAAAACTCATGACCTCAAAATGTTTGAGGAAATCTCACCATAGATGTACATCATATTTGATAGTTAAATAATTTGATAGTTCACTAAGCCTCCTGTTCTGCAAAAAGGAAAGGAAGTTGAGAAGAACACTAAACTAAGCACTATATGAAATTATTATGGATTGAGAGGCAAGTGCATTGCCATTGATAAAAACTGGGTAAATATATGTCATGTAATTCTAGCGTGTTACCCCTAAAGAAAGGTGGGGAAAATTTTATCTTGAACTAGCACCTCTATTCTACATACTGCAGTGTCTCAGAGGTTTCCATAGTTTGTCAGCTGCATTTCAGAGGGAAATGCCTCTGAAAATAGTCTATTCCACCTATTGTGAGCAAAGTAATAATTAAACAACTAAGAGAAAGGATATGAACTTGCCTTCCTGATGAGCCCAATGGTTAGGAATTGTCAGGTATCATAAGAGTATTGTTTGTGAAATACGCAAGATAAGTGTATCTGAATAACAAATTGAACATGAAAACATGAGCAGTTTGATGAGTATTTTAACTGTCACTTAGCTGAAATGTGGCAAGACTGGTACAAAGAAAATTGTTTGGCAGATATACTGCAAGTACCGTATTTTTTTTTTAATTTTGAGGACATGACCAGGAGGAATGTGAGGTTAATGGTATATCTGTCCTGAACACTTCTCCTATGTGCAAATGTTGCTTTAGTAACTAATTTTTAGATTATTCCTCATCACAAACTGTTTATTATCTGCTTTATTTCAGACATATTTATGAAGAAATTGATCCACACCTTTTCAAAACACAGGTTAACATCAAATGCTAGAAGCAAATGCCAATAGCAATATTTTATTTAACAAAATGTAGATTTTGCTGCTTGCTTCAAAATGTGTCAAAATCTATTCAGTAGGCTGAGATTTGGGATAAAAGTGTTTTATAAAACTGTTCAAAAGACGACACTTCAAATCTAAGATGTGTATCCTAAACATCCTACCTAAGTACATTGGCATTGGGTTCAACTCATTAAAAATACAAGATTCACTTCTGCAATCTTTGGACCAAAATCTACAATTGATACAATGATTGTTTTTTCTAACTTTCATTCTTATAGCAAGTATAACATTCAGAATCTTGCACCTAAAGTAGGTTACTTTTATTGAATTCTTTAATAATAAAAGGAAAATCTTTTCCTATGGGAAGAACTACACTGCATATTGCTGAATAATTGACTGGAATCTTATAGAACTGCTTCTGATCCTAATCAAAGAACTTGAGTGTTGGATCGATGACTTACACCTGTAGAGGCTTAAGTCCAAATCCAAATTGTTTGAATGCAAGGAGAGATCTAGCTATTAATTAAATCCTGAAATCAGATTTCCTGGCAGGCTATTTGGTAGATGACCTTATAGTTTGTCTTTAATGTTGGTCTTTGGTGAAAAACAGTCACTAACTAGGAGGTTAGAGTTCCTTGCAGTACATTTCCTATTCTTCTGATAGTTAGCCACTCTAAGACTTTTCTTAGTTATGGAATGCACTTTAAAAGCAAAAGAAAGTATACACAAGCCACAGCAAAACAGAATAAATGAATCTGTAGCAATTGTGACATGCTGTAGTAGCAGGTCTTGTTCCACTTTGTCTTAATGCCATTGTATCTGTTTCCTAGATTATTTTCATTCTCTCTTAACAAAGAAGCTAAATATGTATGAAGCAATAGCTTTCATAAGTTATGGAGGGTTTGCATTGGGAGCTGCTGCAAGAAAGCACTGCCAGAATGCATGGGTCCAGCAAAGTATAAAACATCCATTGTGGGGTATTTGGAATGATTTTGATTATATTACTGCTGTTACTTTCTATTATTCCCAACAATTCAGGATATCTTGAATAACACTTACTTGGTCATGAGATCAGATAAAAGTGTGATTGAAATAAGTGCCTTTTCTCTATACATTTCCAGATCTAGTGTTCAAACTTAATAAATTGGTACCCTTTAAATCTTCAGTAATATGTATAGCATTATTTGTTTTACAATGGCTGTTATTAACATACAATCCAAGTAAAGAATCTGGAATGGAAAACTGAATTAAATTTGAACACAAATGCTCCCAAATGTTTTTTATGGTTAGCTTATTTTTTTAAGTAGTGTTTTGTGATGCATCAGATCCGCTCTACCAGATTTGCTTTGTATTGTTGAGGGATCTTCCATAAACATTAGGAAGATGCATAGGGAAGAGCAGGGAAAAATACAAAATTAACAAATGTTATTTTCTGGGCAAATGAGCTTTATGTTGTTAAACCTATAAAGATTTTATATGGGGAGGGAGGGGAGGAGAATCTTCTGCCTCTCTTTTTTCCACACAGTGGAATTTGTGAACAAATTGCTTTACATTTGTAATGTAATGTATTTTAGATATTGTTTGACACAGTTTTCAATACTGTATTCTAACAGTGATATTAATTTCTTCTTTTGGAAAAGCAGTTTGTAAACTTGTACAAAGCGGGGATCTAGTCAGATTTACTGAGGTTAAAATCCCATCTTAATGGAATTGTTTTCTCAACCCACCAACCCCCAAACACACACACACACACACACACACACACACATATATATATATATATATGAAAATCAGAGCAGCATCTTCCATACTGAAATATTGGTGTAACATATTTAACATGGTTACTGAATTTTAATCCATTTTCTGAGTTTGCAGAAGACAATGGATTTGTGCAATATTCTAAGCCACAGGAAAGGGTAGTCTAATCAAGCTTGGCATGCTATACAGATACAGCTACTCAAACCTTTATTTGACCTGGTTATGTGTTACCAAGTTAATAATAACAGAAAGAAAAGAATCAAAGTATAATTGTATTACCCTGAAGAAGAACTCAAGAGGAAAGGTTTAAGTGAGGATACTATGGGATGCATAAAAGCAGCATTTTTTAAAAAAGTTGCTGTTATTAGTTATTCTTCTTTTATTTTGGTTTGTGGCAGTGGTGGGTTGCAGGCAGTACGCCCTGGTATGGGCGTACCGGTGCCTGCCAGGAGCACCAGGTACCGTTCCGGTACGATGCTCCGGAGGGCCCGCCTGCCCATCCTCCTTACCTGTATTTGAGCTCTTCGGCGCTTACGTACATGGCACATATGGTGCCTGCGCAATGTTCCAAGCAGCTGGAGCATCATGTCGCAAGAGGTAAGAACGCATGCGCGCACTGCACACGTTCATGTGGTGGACACCGGGCCCCACTGCACCATACCAGTTGCAAAGGGATCCGGAACTCACCACTGATTTGTGGGTAACTCATGAGAAATGTGATTGTAGCTTTTAACATGAAAAGCTGCTGCACGGAATAACAGTTTTAACACAGTACACTGAATGATATCTTCTGCATACTTATTTAAAACAGCTTACAAAACTTAACAGATTCTGATTTAAGGTAGGCAAGTAAAGTCAAATCTAGTATTTATTACTTTACTGATTACTTGTTACTTTATTAGGCAGACATCAAATTTCCAAAAATAAACTTACTATTTTCCCCTTTGACATATTAATCTATTAAATAACATTTTAGATAACTGTGTGGAATAAAAAACTTTACAAAATGAGAGTCATAAATTAGCAATTGGATAGATCTTCCTGTACATGAAGAGAGAGAAATGAACAAAATATGCTATTTTTGTATATAATTTCTTTGTATTCTTAATTTGATTTTAAAATGAAGATTAATCATATCTCTAAAGAAAAGACACATCAGTGCATATTCAGGAAATAAAACATAACGCCTGAAATATTCAGAACCTTTTTCCTGGGCTATTTTAATAGTTATTTTCACACAGTCAGTGATTATCAATAGAGCATTGAAGAGAAAACTCTGATGTAGTCTACATATTGTACTGTTAATTATAACCTGGAAGTGGTGGTTTATATCCAATTTTGGCTTCAAAAAAAGTGTAAGAAAGAGTAATCAAATTAACTTTCTCCATCCTTGGGTCTTCTACAAATTCAGGATCAATGAAGAAAAATACTGGCATGTCCACTTCCTCATGAGGATTGAGTCTTTGTTCTTCAAAACAAAAGCACTGAAAGGGGGGGGAAAGAGTTTATTTTCCAAAATTGAACAGTCAGCTAATTTTTTTAATGTTTTGTCTTAACCTTTAATTCAATACATTTTTTAAAAAATATCTATTAAAAACAAATCCATTTCAAACTCACTTTGTCAAGTAATTATTTTATAAACATTTTAAAATCTGTCTAAATATAAAGCATTTAAAGAAATATTAACATTAAAAACTAAGGAATACTGGTGAACATATTGGTTTTATTCATATTTCAGGGAAAACTGAGCATTTTCAACTATTGGAAATCTCATGTTTATTATGCTATAGAAAAATAAGATAGCAATCCTTAAAGAAAAAAATGAAGTTATACAGAATTCAAAAGGACAAGAAGAAGTATTGACAGCATACCATAAGTCTAATTCTATGACTTGCTGCAAATATGAATTATCAAAACAGACTCTAGTTTCAGTTATAATAAATATGTAATAAATAAATATAATAAATATTTGAGGAACTTCACCAAATTGAGCAGCACTTACCTGTATCTTATTGAAATATTGTCCGGCCTCAGGTGGTAGTACATTGTAGGTAGATATTCCGATTATTGGTCTATCAGTGGGATTTTTTGCTTTATAAAAGGCCAGTGCAGTTTCTCCTGGAACCACCTATTTTAAAAAGTTACAACTGTTATGTTTCTAACTTATCTCCATACTTTTATTTCTTACAAAATGGGTTTTCTAACAAAGTCTGTGCACCAAGTTATATTAAAGCAGTTTTTCTCAAGAATTTTCCCAGACACATTTTTAAATCTGTTGAGGTTGAAAAACATGGCATTGTAGACTGGATAATCTGAGGTGGACTATCTCTGTTGGCATTATATTTCAAAATATTTATAAAAAGCCATTTCAGATTAAAGAAACCAACCAGAATTTGGTTCACTCTAATACCAATGACAGACCAAGACTAGATTTACTGATTAAACTGCACTTGTGCACTTGGCAAACAGGCAGTAGTACTAGGATTTAACCTGGCTGCCATACATATTTGCTAGTAGAATAAACTTAATTCTAAAACTAATTTTGCTAATGGAAATTAGTAAATCAGAATGCATTGTTTGATTGTATCCCATTTACCTAATTGAAAAGGAGCCTTTTAATTAAAAATTCTCAGTTGGCTACAATTACTCACATTCTTGATTATTTTTATAAGAGCAGCATGTCATTTTATTGTAAAAACATGCTTATAAAAGTTCATGTAAAATTCACTTAGCAGATTTTAATTACTTACATAAACTTCAGTCTGCTGAGGCTTGAAGTTCCATTGAAGACTTGAATGTACATCTGAATTGAATGTGATTTTAATGATGCGATCCTTTACAGGCTCCATAGTTTCAATTTGTTCTGAACTATGACCATCTAAAGCTGACCCACCAAGCCCAGTAGCCTGAAAGGAAAATAAGATGAAGTGAAAAACAATCTGCTTGAAAACAAATTATTTTCATGGCAATAAGAACAGAGTAGAGGGTGTTTTTTTTCATTAGAGATTGTTTACTTAAAATTAGCAACACTTACTAGAGCTGTGCAGTGCTTTAGATTCAAAGGCAAAAAGATGCTTCAAGCAAGCATCTTGCTTGCAAGGGTGCAAGGATGCTCATGGAATATTTCTCTGCAGCTTCTTAAAGCAGCTGTGTCTTTTCTCAGGATCATGCAGTTGTCTTCTGTAGTTGTAGCAAGATCCTGGGAAAATATGAGTTTGGTTTAAGTAGTTGGAGAGAGAAGCAATGTATGCACCCATTAATGCTTCAAAGCAAGTTTCTGAATCTGAAGTACTCCACAGCAATAAACTGAGCAGCAGTTGTGGGTCCCTCCCCACAAAAAGTCATGGTTGATCAAAAGGTTTATCAGTGTCATATTCTTTAAGGAGACCAACTAAATATTAATGAGGACTTCACACGAAAGACATTAAGTAGTTAGGGAAATTCATATGTGCACTGCATCTGTTGCTAGAAATAATATATAATTACTACAGTTCTCCCACCTTCATAAAACTGTAAAATCGCTTTACAAGGCTCCCTGTCAGCAGATGAGCACTTTCATGTAATGGTGAAGCTGGTTCAGTAAAACTAGGAAGAATGGGAACACTGACTTAAGTTGTTGCTGAACAGTTAAAAGTGGAAGGGATAAGTTATTTTAGACAAGAAATTCAAACATAAAAAAACAAATCATCTCTATACTGTTACCAAGACAAGCATATGGGCATGGCTGGAACATTTAGACAAATGGTGGTGGCACCAGATATTGAGAATTCCTTTGTTCCAGAAGTCATTAAAAAGTTGTCTATTAATTGAAGAATACTGAATTTTCATATAGAGATCTGGGCGTGATGATGTAATCAGATTGGAACCAGAAGGAAAGATCATTAAAATCTTAGTTACATTCAAATATCCACTCAATCTGAATTTGCCATTTGAGTCCATTGACATCACTCTGGCCAAAAATATAATAAAAGTACCTCATATAAATTATATAAATTTATGTTTGGCCAGGATTATTTTGGGTACAATAGAAATTAAACTGAGGTGAAATCTGGATGCAGTTTATTATTTGAAGACTACTAAATTGAAGTTGTTAAACAGAGATTTTACTATACTAAAAGTGTTCTTCTCTTTACAAGAGCATGAACAAATATGAACATGAAAAGTATGAATGAATAAATCAAGGGAAACTAAAATTGTCAAAACAGAAACAAAGTACTAAATTAGGAGGGATAGAAAGTGGCAAAAGCCAAGAACATTGGGGAGGTTAAAAGACAGTAAAAATGGAAAGTGCTGAGATAATTAGAGGTTTGGGCCAAGGCATGTTTGATATCAAGAACATCAGTGGAATAGCTAAGCAACTAAGGAGAAGTAGGAAATGGAAAGCACTAGGAAAATTGAGAAGTGAGCTGACCACCTCAATGTATATTTATTATACTTCTAGAAACACACAATAATCTAGTTTACTAGATTAGCAGTTTACAGGTTATAGAAGCAAAAATTAAAATATTCATGTAGAGGTTAAAACCAACCAAAATAATCATCACAATAGTTATATCAGTTCCTACCAAATAAATATAAGAACATAAAAATGAGTCAAGGCAATAAAAGGGTAAAAAGAGATACAAAACAAATGCACAAATTACTGAAATCATGGCAGTTTTTCACACAATTATATTTTACTTAGGATTTTATTTAAAAAGGGACCATAGCTGGAGAGAGAGAAAAATAACATAGGAACACAGTATTTTAGAAAAGGCAGTGTAGGATGAGATAGAAAACACAAGACTGATAATGGAAAGAGTAGAATAATATGTGGATGTTTACCTCTGATTTAGATTAGAATATTAACCATAGAGAGGCCTTAGAGTGGCAAGACCATGCAATTATTTCAAAGCTAATGGATGTATCAAAACAACCTATTCATTTCAAAATCTTTAAAATGACAAAACCACTATAAGAATTGAATTTAGAGAAAAGGGAAAAATCAGGGAAGAGAAAGATACCAAAATACACACTGACTCAATGTTTATTTCATGCATTCAGCGTACCTACTGAAAGAGTGGGATTGGAAGAAGAGACCAATATAGGTCTGCCTACTATACACCTGAGATTTGCAAATGCAACCACTTTGTTGGCTGGAAGTAAATAAAGTTTAAGGAGTTCATTACAAAAGCAAAATCGGACACCCCCCCCCCCACACCCTCAAATCCAGCCTTGCTAAGGCTCATTAGCTAAGATGCTGAGCTTGTCGATCAGAAAGATTGCCGGTTGGAAACCCTATAGGTCTCCTGTGTGAGCAGGGGGTTGGACTAGATGACCTCCAAGGTCCCTTCCAACTCTGTTACTGTTAAGGTCGCTACTCTATTTATGTCGACCATTATACTTCATGTACTTTCATGTTCATGGAAAAGGCCTGAAGGTCATTCATTTGTCGGTTGTGGTTAAGTGCAGTACTGCAGGCTACTCCAGCTAACTGCAGTTTGGCAGTTGGAATCTCACCAGGCTCAAGGTTAACTCAGCCTTCCATCCTTCTGAGGTGGGTAAAATGAGGACCCAGATTGTTGGGAGCAATAGGCTGACTCTATAAAACCGGTTAGAGAGGGATGTAAAGCACTGTGAAGTGGTATACAAGTCTAAGTGCTATTGCTATTTTTGCGCACAAACACAAATAGAAGGAGCACCTTCAGAGAGAAGCAATTGGTAATAAGACAAGATCGCGAAGAATAAAGACACTCCAATAACAAGGAAGATCAGAATATTTGAGCAATTAGCAATTGGCAATCCATACCTAAGATCGCCGCTTTATTTTCGTATCACGTACCATGGACCACAAGAACTACCCTCGTCCCCTAAAACATAGTAATCCTACGGAGCATCGTCGGCTGCAAGTGGACTCCTAACTCCTCGCCCTCCGCCACGGACCGCCCCATACCTGGCAGTAGAGGCGATAGAGCGGCACGGCTGCGTAGGATAAGCCCGCCATGCCCACTACACCGGCCGCCAGATAGGTGAGCACCGTCCTGTTGCGTTCCTTCCATTGCTGATCCTGCTCCCGGCGAAAAGCAGCGACAACCTCCTCGATGCTCTTCTCCCGCTGGCCCCCGCGGAATTCCTGGCTGTTGCCACGGTGACAAAGCCTAACCGGGTTGCAGCCCCGACCTCTCACCGCCCGGGCCACCAGCGCGCAGCCCTTTGCGTCCAAACGCATGCTTCTTCCTGTCACGTGACCGCCCTTTTTCTCTTTGGCTGCCTTTCGCAGGCGGGCGGGCGCGATTAGCAACTATCGCGAGAAGTAGCGAAGGTAAAACCCGGCGGCGGCGGCGTCGCTTTGATGCTGGCAAAACTTTCCAGTGCTGGGGTAAGAACGTTCTGACTACGGCGGCCGTAGGGGGTAAGTTCGCGTTTTCGTTACCTGCCCGCCTCTTTGCTCCGCCTCTGAGTCAGGAGCGAGGCTAACTTTCCGCCAAGGTTGCTGGTGCTGGGTTTTTAAATTCAGGTCTGGGTTTTTTCTGTCCAGACTTGGGTTTTTCCATCCTTGTTGGGCTTCTAGGTGTTTTATTTAAAAAATTAATGCAGTCTTAAGTTTGAAATTAATTAATTAATTAAAATTAATGCAGTCTTAAGTAGGTATTACATAGGGAAAGATAATTTAGGTTAAAACGCATTTATGGTGTGGTTTGTCACCTGGGCTTTTTTTTCCCCCTGTAGGATCTGGGTTTATCTGAGCACGAAATCTGGTTTTAGAAATCCCCTCGGGCAATCCTGATAAATAGGTAAAAATAATTTAGTTTAAAACTGATTTATTGTGGGTTTTTGTTATTTGTTTTTTTAAATGTAGAATCTGGGATTATTTGAATGCAGAAACTTGGGTTTTTTGTTTTGTTGTTGAAAAAACCACTTGCAACCCTGCTTCCAGCAAATTTTAGATGCCCAGGGCTAGGCTTCAAAAAGGGGCAGGTGCACTGCAGATTTATTATCCAGACAAGCCCCTGGAAATCATAGGAAGGCGTTGGGCTTTAAAGAATACAGTCTCTAAGGGTTAAACTGTTTTGCAAGTTTCAAACTTCATTAGGCATCAAAGGAGCTAGTCTTTTGATATTCATACCAAAGGACATGAGCAGGATGAGGGAACTGGACTCCTTTAGCCACCACAAAGCTTCCTGTGTGACCTGTGACTAGACAAAATTTTTCATCTCAAGATTGCTTTGAGGATAAAAGCAGCAGGTGGAGTAGTACTGAAATGCTGCTTTGGGTTTTTGAAATACATTTTAAAACAAAACAAAACAAAACTGTTCTTTCCCATTATATTGCCTAAGTAAGTACATAGTACAAGTAGTCCTCGAGTTACGACCACAATTGAGCCCCAAATTTATCTTGCTAAGTGAAACATTTGTTAAATGAGTTTGCCCCTTTTTACGACTTTTCTTGCCACATTTGTTAAGTGAATCACTGCAGTTGTTAAGTTAGTAACACGGTTGTTAAGTGAATCTGGATTCCCCATTGACTTTGCTTCTCAGAACAAAAGGGGATCATATGACCCTAGGACACTGCAATTGTCATAAATACAAACTAGTTGCCAAATATATGAATTTTGATTATGTCACCATGGGGATGCTGCAATGGGTCATAAGTGTGAAAAATGGTCATCAATCATTTTTTTCAGTGCCATTGTAACTGAACAGTCACTAAATGAACTGCTGTAAGTCAAGGACTACCTGTATTAAATGGCACACAGCATTTCCTTTTATTGATTTATATCCTGGCTTTTTAATATATTTTTTTAATGAACAAACATGTAAAATACACACACAAAACTTAGACGTACACCACATTTACACAATACAATACGAACAGGGGCTTCCTGTTCTTTCCAATAGCAATTATCAATCGATACCGCTTACCTTATATTATTCCCCCCTTCTATTGTATTTCATTTGGATTTCACCATTCTTAACCCTCTTATTTTACCCATAACTATCATTTTTGAGTTTTGTTGTATTCCTTCATTGATTCTTGTTTCTTTCCTCCATCTACCTA